CTTGTGTACTTTCCTTGATGTGTACTAGATCTGGGTACTGAAAATCACTTTGTTATCTAGGTGCTGACCCGGTAATTTAACTTCTTACTGTTGGGGGTTTATATGAATCATTGAAGCTTACACTACATGGAGCTCTACCTCTCAGGGTCCAAGAAGAAAATGTTGCCTTAACCTGAGCACAATTAGAAAAGGAAACAAGTCCTCCCAAACAAGACAGATGAACTTTTCCACCTAAGATCCAGGCAGAGTGAGACACCCATAATCTACCCAAGTCTACCTAAAACTGTACAAAAAATAAAGTGTGAAAAAAGAAGTTAATGTTTGGTACCCTATCAGTAATAAATTTAATTCTATACATATGTACTTCTGAGCTTTTATGAAAGAGAATATGGTAAGTTTTTAACTAAGGATAGTAGTGACATTATTATTTACTAAAAGGAATTTTTTGTTACACAAGAGGGTGGGTGGGTGTGGTGGGTGGTGGATGTATGTGTATGTGTGTGTGTGTGTGTGTGTGTGTGTGTGTGTGTGTGTGTGTGTGTGTGTGTGTGTGTGTGTGTGTGTGTGTGTGTGTGTGTGGTGTGTGTGTGTGTGTGTGTGTGTGTCGGTGTGTGTGTGTTGTTGTGTGCGCGCGCGCGCTATGGTTATGCTAACAAAATCTACAGTAGGTTTTCTTTCGGGTTAGAGTATTCAGGATAATTTCTCAAGAGACATTGGATAGCTCCTTGATTATTTTGTCTCAGTCGATATCATAATTGCTTAAGTTACACTCATTAAACACCCCTTTATACTGGATATTACTTTGGGTTGCCTAGTATGAATTTATTGTCTATTTTTCAGAGCAACTAATTCACAACACTTGAAATGCATCAAATATTTGTAAATATTAACCCCATATCCTGTATAAATTAATAAATGTTAAAAGAAGAAAAAATTATAGTTTTCTTCTTTTTCAGGTTACCCTACCTCAGTGGGAGGGGGCTGGTATATCGAATATAAAATTGTAAATACAAACCACGGCCACTGGCAAAGCCCAATATAAAACAAACATGAAATAACAATTCCATTGCTGACAAACCACAGTGAAGGACAGATAACAAGAAATTCTTCCTCTTCCAGAGTAATGAAACTATGAAATATGCAGTACCTATAAAGCAATCACAGTCAAGACTGTGCTACAGTACAAAATTTACCTTGAAAAATCTCACCAAGAAAAAATGAGGGATGCCAAGAGCCACAGGCTTTGTCCATCAGAAGACCACTAAAGGGGTAAATACTGTTACCATACACACAAATGTGTGGTCTGTAAATGCTGGCTCATAACACAGGTCTGTACAACAGCCTGATTTATTTGCAGTCTGCTGATCTACAAGTCTACAACCTTGCCAAGTAAAATGCCGAACAGATAACAGGAAGTACTCCTTCCAGAGTAAGAACCCTGTTAAGACTAGATGTTTAACAATGAAATAAGACCAGTAATCAACTTGCAAATTCAACTGAAAAACTCAACATATGAAATAAAAGATTTTTTCAGCCACAAATACTACAGGTTTCCTTTCACCATCAAAGCCACTATACAATATATTGTGGTTAATGACATACAAGTGAAATTCAGACTGATGACAGAGGTGACAGTACAGCTTTGTCAGTCGTGATCAAGGAATAAAAGTGTACTTATAATTCCAATTTACTTCCTAAGTTCACTAATGCAAGATTGCACATGAGTATGTTTTACATACGGTACATGCTACATTAAGGATGGGCAATTATTTCAGCAATTATTTCATGTCACACACTGCATGTTAATACAGTGGAAACTTGACTTACGAGTTTAATCCGTTTTGTGACCTAGCTCGTAACTCAATTTGCTTGGATGTATATCAAATCAATTTTCCTCATTTAAATTAATTGATATGCCATTAATCCATTCCAGCGGAATTCCTGGTCTTGGGAGGCAGGACAAAATACTTCAATATGACACTAATATTAACTCTACGGCTTATTTACTTATTGCGATTCATCTTATATGACATAATAAACAATATAAATAACATGGAAACATGATAAATACTCTAGAATGAATAAAATGTATCGTGTGATGAGTGGTGGCGGCCATTGCCGCTCCTGCACTGACCATATCTTCTCATTCTTCCCCTTCTGAAAATGGAGTGTTTGTGAGGCTAACTGCACTGGAACACTAGTTTCATAAGGAAAACAATGACACAATGTACAGTGGACCCCCGCTTAACGATCACCTCCCAATGCGACCAATTATGTAAGTGTATTTATGTAAGTGCGTTTATACGTGTATGTTTGGGGGTGTGAAATGGACTAATCTACTTCACAATATTCCTTACGGGAACAAAATCGATCAGTACTGGCACCTGAACATACTTCTGGAATGAAAAAATATCGTTAACCGGGGGTCCACTGTATTTATAAATAAGAAATATTGTATAAAAGCATAATAGAGAATGTAAAGAAATAAGTTGGTTTTGTAAAGTGTACGTACATATTTACCTGGGAGAAGAGATGGAGGGTGGAAGTAGGCAGAGCCACGTACACTGTCAGTGGCCCTCAACCCATGACCCGAACACCTCCACCTCACTTGTGTTCATCTATGATTTCATGCTTTAATTCCATGGACATCATCATCTTTTTCTTCTCAGCACTCTCTTTTGCACTTACTTTCTCAGGACCCATGGTTAGAAAAAAGAAATTTGGCAAAAAACTCTACAAAATGCAAGCAAAGCACAAGAGAAATGCTTCCACTGCTCAGCGGATGTTTTGCATTCAATGCACCAACTCATGGCAGTGTTCTGAAGATCCTCATTATTATTATTATTATTATTATTATTATTATTATTATTATTATTATTATTAATTTAGGGAACTAAAGCTCACTCATTATTAAAATAATAATAATTATTATAATTAGTATAATAATAATTAGAAAAATAATAATAATAATAACAATAACAACGAAGAGCTTTAGAACACCGCCAACTCAGTGCACTGTTTACCTCACCGTGGAAGCATTTCTCCCATGTTTCGTTTGCATTTTGTAGAGTTATTTTACCAAATTTCATTTTTCTAACCATGGGTTCTAAGAAAGTAAGTGCAAAGGACAGTGCTGAGACGAAAAAGATGATAATGTCTATGAAATTAAAGCATAAAATCATAGATAAGCAAGCGAGGTGTGTGGGTTGCGGGGGAAGCTCGCTCATAACTTGGATGTTGGTTCGTAACTCAGAGCAAAAAATTGACCGAGTGACAGCTCGTATCTCGAAAAATTCGTATGTTGGGACACTCGTAAGTTAAGGTTCCGCTGTACTTCATTATATGTTCTATATCAAGTCTTGCAATTGTCCATACAAAAAAAAATAACTGACATCAATAAAAACTAGTTTAAATAATAATAAATCACTGAGCAAATTTACTCAAAGAATAAATCTACATACTGATGATAATTTGAGAAGCTCACCCAATGAAAAAAAAGTGCTGATGTGTTAAGTCAAGCATCATCTCTACTGATGAAATAGTTAGTACTGCCTTGAAGTGGTCAGCAGTATTTGAAGAACCTATTTTGAGTCTTTAATTTTGAAAATGCATAACAAAGACAAAACCTGAGAAGCAAAACTGATTATATTTACTCTAAATGCAATGGATTACATTGCAAGTCAATAAACTTCAGAGGACCTCTTAGTAAATAATGCAGTTTAAGGAAATATTTTGTTCAACATTTGTTTCTCTTGTTCTTGAGAGTATTTTTTTTTTTAGCAAATGGACATTTTTAAATTGTCAGATGTGGGCTTATATCATCAGGAACATTCGCCAGTTTTTCAACTCGCATAAATCTTCTCATTTTGTCGTCTTTCACTTCACTGATACCAGTTCTGAGAGCTCAAAAGTTTAAATGACAACTCAAATAAATTTATCACCCAGTCTGTATCTCTCAGTCATATAGAGAAAAATATTAACAAATCGCTTACTTCTATACTTTAACTGAAGAAACGGGTCCTCAGCAGTATTGTCTAAACACGACAATTTTCTCAAGCCGAGTTTTCTTATCCACACAAAAATACTATAGAAGTGGTATTAACCATAAAATCCTTTAAATTCTTCATTGAGGTGGTTTGCTGTTTCTCGGCAATTTTGTGAGTAACATTATTCAGGAATGCAAATTCTTCTATGAAAAAGCTTTGCTCCTTTTGCATTTGAGCAATTCTCTCATCAACTCTGGCTACTTTTTCATCAGTAGCATTCATATATTTGCCTGCATGCTTACTCTCAAAACAGAGATTTCAGTTCTAATCATTGGAAATTAAGCATGGCTTTTTCCACCCATAGGGGCAAAATATACATAAAAAAAAAATTATCCTTAGTTGATTACTCTGCATTCAGTGTTCCACTTTTCTGTTTGAAATAGTGTACTCATTTCCAAAGTGGCATGCACGGGTTTTTGGATGATATAAATACTATACCAAATTTGCAAAATGACATAAAAAATAAACACAAGTAGACAACAGATAAATCACAGTAATGCTCTCTTCACTGAGAAGTACAAGGAGAATGCTTGCTTCTCATTAAATAAGCTGTGAAATGGAGAAAGACAAATGACACCAAGTGTGGTAGTAGAAAGCTCATCCTGGTAAAGAATTTTGGTCAAATGTGACACAAATACACGAGTAGGATGCAGTAAAAATTAACCATTTCTGGAAGTGAAAAAATTCTCATTTTTCCTGTTGCCAGAAACAATGGCTGGCAAAAATTTAAGTCTACTTTTCTTCCTGTTGTAAGACAATGATGGGCCAGAAGCGGCCCGGGTGCTGTACTCTGCCCACCCCTGATCTACAGTAACGTATTATACAGTATAATACTGTAGCACTCATTTGTACGCTATACTGTGTCTAAGTTTTCTTAGAATATTACAAAGAACTTTTTACAGCAAATTAAGATATTCATAACTAATTCTGATATATTTCAGAGGAAATTCATACCATTTCAAGTTCTTCTTGAAGCTTCTTTACAGTAGCTTCCTTGAGACCAAGCTGCGCAGAAAGTTTGACAACTCTCTCTGATTCATCCCTAGCATGCTTCAGGATGTTCCATTTTTCTCGTTCTGTTTCATCTCTCTCTGCCGCAAGGTGGCGCAGGGACTCATCGCTCTCCTTCATGCGCTGACGACGGTAAACATTTGCCAGAACAAATAATGAAATGATATTACAATTAAAGTGTTATTTATCTGAAGTAATAAGTGTATAATCCTAAGATTATTAAATGATCATATTTTATTGTAATTATGATAGGTGACATTCTATTACATGAAGCAGTGTGTATAAATAATGGAGAGGGCAAGACAATTTATCTATGTAACTGGTAAAAATTTTAGTGCACTGACATGAGTACACTAACCAAATATGTATATGCAAGTTTGTTTATAGTATTTTGGCCTCATGCATAATTTGAAACTTTTACAATGGTTTTACAAAGTACATTATGTAGAATTTAACCTAGGGTAACCCAATAAGCCAAACAATGTGTCTTCTTTCCAGTATTGTGGAAGTAGCAGCCAGCACTATCTACCAGGTTGTAAGAAAAACCTGTAAGTCTCAATCATATGTCATAATACTGAACACAGCCCAGACACTATGGATTTATCTAGACATTTTTATCATGCTTTCAATCAGAGTGCTCTCAGAACAAGTTATTAGGTTAAACCATATTTTTTTCTGCAGTACTATAGCAACAACACTGGCCATTATTTCTACCAACAATACCACCGTACTATCATCAACCTTGTAACTATTCAACGCACTGTATTTAACAATCAACACCCTAAATGTACCTGTTCATAATTTCGAATGAAGTCCCGTAATTCTTTTTCCTTGTCTTCTAGTGTGGCATACAACTGCTTCATCTGGTTCAATAAATCAAATTTCTCTGCCTTCAGACGTTTCCTATCCGCTTTTAAGGCTGGAGAGAAGGAAAAAAATCACATATTTAGTGAAAATTTAAAAATTAAACATGATGAATTTACATAGATAAAATATCAATAAAATAGTATATACAGCACACTATATATACCTTACTGTACATGTATTTCTTTATTTAAATCAGAGTTAAGCACTAAAATTTCTGAAGAAACTTCTTCCCTGCTTTTCACCAGAGGTATTTTGGATCAATCCCTCCAGAATCTTCCAACTGTAGATTATGATGCATCTTTCTCATCTATGTTCTAAAGAATACAGTTCAAGGGATTTCAAGCACTCTCAATAATCCCACAATAGAGTAGAAAAAAGATATCAACACAACTGTCGTGTTGCAAGGCCCACAGACAAGATTCCTCTATCCCATCTATGAAAGGATGTACATGGCCCCAGGCACATGTCTCGTGTAAGAAATACTGTACATGGCCCCAGGTACTCCAGGCAGCAGCCCAGGAAATTTAGTTAGTCAAGTTGCCTGAGCAGCTAGTTTATTGAACATTAAAATGGTATAAAATACCGACAGATTGTTAGGTAAGACACACATGCAACAGTTAGGTATCTTTATTTCGAAACGTTTCGCCTACACAGTAGGCTTCTTCAGTCGAGTACAGAAAAGTTGATAGAAGCAGAAGAGACTTGAAGACGATGTAATCAGTCCATCACCCTTAAAGTTTTGAGGTGGTCAGTCCCTCAGTCTGGAGAAGAGCATTGTTCCAAAGTTTGAAACAATATTGAAACATATTGTTTGAAACATATTGTTTCAAACTTTGGAACAATGCTCTTCTCCAGACTGAGGGACTGACCACCTCAAAACTTTAAGGGTGATGGACTGATTACATCGTCTTCAAGTCTCTTCTGCTTCTGTCAACTTTTCTGTACTTGACTGAAGAAGCCTACTGTGTAGGCGAAACGTTTCGAAATAAAGATACCTAACTGTTGCATATGTGTCTTACCTAACAAGCTAGTTTATTGTTCACCACTTGCAGCTCATCCTGTGAGTGGTAGTGCAAAAAACAGTATTACAGAGGTCACAATGGGTCTTTGTGAAACCCCACTGAGCATTGTTATATCACTAGGAAGGAACACTGATCATTTTGTATTTTATAATTTCTTCATTTAGTTGTTGCTACGCCTTTTTTTAAAGGGTCAGTTGTTTAATGTACAATTTCAGCTGTTTCACTTAATTTTAAGTATATTATTGGTATCCTTACCAGTAGCTAAAATAAGGCTGCTTTGCTTTATATTATCTGGCCATAAATTGTTTAGCTTCGTACACAGGTAGGATGTTTAAATATTCCAAACTGCTGGTGCGGCATGGTTAGGCACCAGCAGACAATTTGAGCTACTCACCCCTACTCAGAGTCAAGGTTGGCTGGTAAAGCCTTACCTTGTTCAGTCCTCACCTTCCACTAGTCGAGGAAGCATCTAGTGGAGAACCTGGCTTTAACCCTTAAACGGTCCAAATGTATATATACGTTCACTCGCATAGTGCCCCAAATTTTTTGAGAGAGAAAAAAGTTTTTTTTTAATAGGAAAAAAGAGCATATAGTACCCAGGCATCCCCAATTATTTTAATATGGCGCACAGTGAGTGCGCACACCCATTCTCTCATGTCTAGGCGACTCAGGCTTATCGTGGCAATGTTGAATGAATGACAAAGAAAACATATACATGTATATACGTTTGGGGCGCTATGCGAGAGAACGTATATATACATTTGGACCATTTAGGGGCTAAGTCACCTTACATTTCCCCAGAAGTTACCAGTATTTTGGAAGCCCTTTACTAGGGTATAGCTCAGTCTGAGAAGGCAGTGTAGAAACTCTTGAAGAAATTAGAAATAAGCAATCGAGTCTAAGTGTTACTTCTTTTATAGACTGATTTAGAAATTAATGAAGAATGGTCCCCAAGGAAGAACTCTGCTATTTGTGTCAGTGTGGCATTTAGGCTTGTAAATGCCTGTGTCTGTACATACATATACATGTATATATCTTTTGACTCCTCGTGAAGGAGGCTAGAAACTCTGTCTAGAACAAGTTGCAAATATTTAATGTATTATAAGTGATGTGATAATAAGGTTGATATATGTTTTACTCATAGTGATTATGCTATGAGAAGTTCTGTTTTAAAGATTGAATTATTTAATTCATAATAGAAACTTAAAGTGATTATTAATACTGTTAATAAAAAAGCAGAAACCTAACAGACTCCTTTTCTTCGAGTGAACCCTGTGTATGATGACCCTTAGATGAGATAATCCTGTTCTTTTTATGAATTTGTTACGAGAAGCACTATAACAAAGTGGTCTACAGTACAATAAAAAACAAAAAAATATTAGTCATAGCTGGGTTGCAATCTCTATAAAGACAGTTTGTTCATCTAGTCAATGCAAAATGTGGATACAACTTCAATCTTTTAGATATCTTATCATTAATAATGAGGTATTTTGCCATATGCTGTAAGATTTGAATGGAGGTGTCTCTGAAAGACTGGATACTTGGACACTAATATATAATGTTCCAGTGTATGGCCCAGTCTCTGTTTACACACTTTGCATTTTGTCACTGACATCTCCACACAAACCGTACTGCCAGAGATATTGCATTTCTGTTCCAGCCTTAGTCTAACAGTAACATCTTGCAGTCTACTGACAATGTTACTTTCTCCATATATGTGTTCAACTTGACACATTTCATTACGATGGATCTCCTAGTTCCTGTCTGCAGTGTTCTGGCTTCGAGCACATTTGTTAGTTCTTTTTGACAATGTTTCATAAACTTTTATTTGAAAACCAAAGCTATGCTTAATGCTCTTTATTTAATGTTTGTTTAGCAACTCAGCAAGTGTGACCTCCCCCCCCACCCCCCCAGGGATGTATTATGAGAGGAAACCCACTCTCAAATGATGAGTTTTTAAAACCTGAGTTACTATTAGCATATCTATTTTTCTCCTGTTTATCTCTACAAGCAGTATGCCTCAAAATATCTAAACTCTGATTTCTTAAAACTATTCTTTGCAGTATTAACAACACCTATGCTCATGCAATCAGTTCACCTTTCCTCCAATAAGTTGAACCTTTCTAATACTCTTGCCAACTGTAGACTAATCATCATTTTTAAGCTAACTTGCTATCTAAAAATGAAAGTTTTACTGATCAATTAATCAAATATATTTAAAAATATGTTTTAGAATATAATTTATGTTGCCAGACTCACAGGAACACAAGAATATACACATGACTGGCCCGGTGGCCTGGTGGCTAAAGCTCCCGCTTCACACACGGAGGGCCCGGGTTCGATTCCCGGCAGGTGGAAACATTTCGAAACGTTTCCTTACACCTGTTGTCCTGTTCACCTAGCAGCAAATAGGTACCTGGGTGTTAGTCGACTGGTGTGGGTTGCATCCTGGGGGACAAGATTAAGGACCCCAATGGAAATAAGTTAGACAGTCCTCGATGACGCACTGACTTTCTTGGGTTATCCTGGGTGGCTAGCCCTCCGGGGTTAAAAATCCGAACGAAATCTTATCTTATCTTATCTTGACAGATGTAACAGTTCATTGTCAAGAGGAAAACAACTGGTAGGCCTGGTAGGTGATGCTCTCACTTCACAGTGTCTGTGGTTCGATCCCCAGCAACATGCAAACACTGGGCATGTTTCCTTATGCTTGTTTTCACCATTCACCTAGCAAGCAAGTAGGTACTTGGGAGTTAGTCAACTGATGTGGGTTGCATCCTGATGGACAAGATCGAGGACCCCAATGTAAATAAGCCAAGACAGTCCCTCGTTGACACAGCCTTTCTTGGGTTATTCTGGGTGGCAAACCCTTCAGGGTTAAAAATCTGAACAAAATCTTTTCTTAACTATTATTACTGAACAATAGTAAAAATTATTTAATTTTTTATTGAACTTTTTACTTGATTAATGGCAAGTATTGTCAACAAGTATGATATACACCACTACAAATGTTATAACAGTCTTACATGAATGATTAAAATGTCAGTAGTATTCATTAACAAAATTATTACATGAAATGTTAATGATTGCAAACTATAGCAGTCAAGTAAACTAACCTAATTAAATGACTGTTCAGTAGGTGTTGGTTAATTTTAAGGATATCCAAAATGTCCTGCATCATCAGGAGCTTTATAAATATAGAGTAGTTTAAGCATGTCAATTTAACCTACATCAACTGTACAATGTACTTTACAGAAACAAAGTTTGTCATTGTCAATGTCATTTCATTTCTTCTCATGTAGAGTTTTATCAAGATATTTACTGGAAAAAGTTCTACCAGAAGTGAAACGGTCTATAATAAGAGAAATTCTACACTAAGTGTAAGTTTATTGAGGCACAGGTACACATAAGTACAATCATCACAGTGTTAATTACCTAGCATAACCCAAACAAGTCAAAGTGACTTATTTCCATTATAATGTATATATTTTTAGAACTCATTTTGTACGATAAATACTGACAGAAAAATCATCCTACTGACGGTTGTTAGGTAAACATATTATTATTATAATCAAAAAGAAGTTAGATAAACATAGTTCTTGCTAAATTCAACCCTGTACGGTAAGAATTTGTTGGAAATTTTAACCTGGGGAGTTAGTATTATTATTATTATTATAATCAAGGGGGAAGCGCTAAAGGGGAGTTAGTAACCCAGAAAATTATTATAATGGGAGAGCGCTAAACCCATAGGATTATCCAGTGACTCTGGGGAGAGGGATGGAAGGTACTTAGACTCAATTCGGGAAACTGAAGCACAGGATCCAATTCCCTAGATCAAGAACCCCTCACCAGCATCAAGGAACCTTCCTTGAGGGGTAGTAACCCAGAATGTAAAGTCTGTGCATTACCGAAGACTGATGGTCTTGCTTGTTTTGGGGTCTTTTAATCTCCCCCTGGATGCCACCCATTTTAAAAGTACACATTTCACCCATGTGATCCCCAGTCACTCAGTTTGCAAGCTGAGGACCCCAATGGAAATAAGTCACTTTGACTCTTTTTGGGTTATCCGAGGTAATTTACACTTGTATGATAATTGTACTTAAGTGCACCTGTACCTAAATAAACTTACTTATCAACCTAGCCACGAGCACCAACTGCAACTTGCAATATAATTCCTAGTAACCCCACAATGAGGTTGTCCTAATTTGGTTGACTGAATTACGTGTTGTTACTGGCACAATAAGCAGCAGTTGACTTGTGTAGCATTCTAATAAGTATATTTAGTTAGATACAGGTACACGTAAGTACAGTTACACAATACACAAATAACCCGCGCATAGAGACACTTATGCAGCATATGGGAATCTTTATAAAGATTCCCATATGCTGCATAAGTGTCTCAATCTTCAACTTGTCGGTTTTTCAAACCATTCATCACAACCCGCGCATAAAAGAGAGAAGCTTACGACGACGTTTCGGTCCGACTTGGACCATTGACAAAGTCACACATAGTAACATATGTGTAAATTGCCTAGGATAATCCAAGACTGTATAATTCATTATTTAACTTGTTATCCTTGGTTAAAACACCATTATTCCTCTGCATAACTATGAACTTTCTGCATGAACAGCTAAATGTCATCCATCCCTGTACGAATGTTGTGTCATGCTGAAATAAAATTATTATACTGTTTGTTGTCTTCTGACTGACCCACCACTGACAGAACGAGCAGCCAACTAGAGTTGGATCATGTTCACGGGGAAGAGTTGAACCCAATGGTGTTATACTGGAAATAATCACATCTGACTTAAAATGAGTAGTTCCAATTCCTTGGATTAAGAGCCCTTAAAATAAGGCAAGATTTTCTTCGGATTTTTAACCCGGAGGGCAGTGCCGGATTTCCCTATAGGTTTGGTAGGCTGAAGCTTTGGGCCTCAAAATCTAGGAGGCCTCCGGTCATGGTGTATAATATTTTTGACGCTCATTGGCCTTTCTTACACATTCTGTCATAACGCACTGTAATCTTGCAGCTATTTCTTAGCTTAATGGCCACTAACTGCTGGGAAGAGAGGTCTTTTTCAAGCCTCAAAAGAATTAAAAATAAATTAAGAGCCACGATGTCTCAAGAGAAGCTGTCTGCATTTGAAACTGTTATTTGTCCAAACTTAGACAAATAAATTTTGACGAACTTTTGGATGATTTTGCTATGAGGAACGCTAGAAAAAAGTTTTTTTTATTAGTCTTAGTGTATCTGGTGATTGTAGTTTCTTTATTTCTTAATACGTATTTTTAAAGAATATACGTAAAGAATATACGTATTTTAAAGAATATACGTATTTTAAAGAATATACGTATTTTAAAGAATATACGTATTTTAAAGAATATACGTATTTTAAAGAATATACGTATTTTAAAGAATATGCAGTAAACTTACAATTTAATTTTCCTAAAACTTCCTGCTTATTCCACAAAATGTTTACAAAGTTCGGTTATTGCAAAAGTTTCTCAGTGTTAATTTTAACATTTATGATTTTTTTCAATCACTACGGTATTTAACTAACATTTTCTGTCCTTTAGAGGAGGCACTGTGAATTGCGGAATTTTAAAAACCCGTCATCATCCTCGGCTTCACTGAATTTTGTTTAAAACTCTTCGTTTTCCTCTAGTCGTGAGCAAGGAAGGTTCCTTGATGTTGGTGAGGGGCTCTTGATTTAGGGAATTGGATCTGTGCTCCAGTTCCCCGAATTAAGCCTGAATGCCTTCCACATCCCCCCCAGGCGCTGTATAATCCTCCGGGTTTAGCGCTTCCACCTTGATTATAATAATAATCTAGTCGTGAGGGTGGGGAATTGTGAGGGGCCTCACAAGTGGGATAGCCTAGGGCCTCTCTTCACCTAAATCCGGCACTGCAGGAGGGTTAGCCACCCAGTATAACCCAAAAAAGTCAGTGCATCATTTTTTATATCCATTGTGGTCCTTCAATCTTGTCCCCCAGGATACGACCCACACCAGTCGATTAACACCCAGGTACTTACCTGCTTGCTACGTGAACGGAGACAGCCAGGCTCCAACTTCAAGATACAAGATAATCAACATGTTAGCGCTGCACACGGTGATTCAGTTTACCTGTCTCCTCATCTACTATCTCCAGTTAGTACACGTGTAACCAGAGGTTACACGTGTCTTATTCATCATGTACTGTATACCATTAATATTATAATAGTTGCAGAGTTTCTGGGGGTCACTGCCCCTGCAACCTGATCTCAGATCAGGCCTCTCGGTTGATGATCTGATCAATCAACTTACGGGTGTTGGTTGTATCCAGCCCAACATAGGCACCACAGGGGCCGATTTGAACTCAATCAAGTTCCCTCCTGAAGACATCTAGTCGTCTGTTATATTTAAAGGGAGGCTGTTGAAAAGTCTTGGTCCTTTTACAATTAATGAGTTATCTCTAAGTGTAATTACTGCACTCCCGATTTTCGGAGGGGAACTTGGTACAGTTGGTGAGCCTCTAGCTTCCATAAGGAATTATTTGGTGTGCAAATCTAGGATGAATCGTTCCAGATTTTTCCAAGCAAAAATTATGTTTTTCTCGTCTACATTCTAGGAAGTACAGTTCAAAGGATTTATATTCGAACTAAATTCTATATTCGGAATATATGTAGCTTGGCCAGTCTGTACAATGCTCTGGAAAATGTCATAATGGAAGCCATCACCGCACTGATTACATCTGTGGAAGGCTTTTACAAAGTCTGTATATACTACATCAGTATTTGTTAAGTCTTTCTATGTATCCAAGACCATGTGTCGATGGTCCAGCAGGCTCATTAATTAATGCAATGTCTGTACACTAAGAAACAAATTATCACTAATCAAGGCTGAGCTTATATGGTGTACATTAAAGACATTCATATATCGTGGTTTACAAATTTACCCAACGTGTATAAGCGATCACATAGGGATTCGACCCCCCACCCCCACCCCCACCCCCACGGGAAACCGACAAGTAGTGGAGGTCACAAAATGCAATTACTAGGAAATGTTTATTGGAAATGTTTCGGTCCTGGGACCTTGGTCACATTGAGAGTGATCAAGGTCCTAGAACTGAAACGTGTTCAATAAACATGTCCTAGTGACTGCATTTTCTCTCTCCACATAATTAAGATAAGGGTCCAATTACCTGATAGCGCCTCCTTCGCATGTGTAAGTTCTATTGTCATTTCATTGATTCGAGGCTTTAGTTGGAGATCCTCTTCCACCTTGTTCTCCTTCACCTTGCGTAACTCCTCCACTTCACTCTGTAAGGAACGGTTCCTGGCGGCCAGTTTCTCGTTCTCCAGGCGAAGCTGCGACAGCTCCTCCACCAGCTGATTACTCGAGCTCTCACTGTGATCTGTGGGTAACAGGCATTATTGACACCAGTTTAAACAGTAATGTTTGATTCAAGGAACTTGAGCTACTCTCTCTCTCTTTGGATCAAATTTGATTACCTCCTATTCGCTAGGCACGACGTTTAAGAATTTAGGTCTTAGGCATGTTAATAATAATAATAATAAAGCACATCTACGTTGGGTGTTCCAACTGTATGGACTAGTCTCAACAACGATTTAAATTTAAACACGAGACGGGATGGTCAAGGCCTCTACGAGAAATTTTGCAAGGCGGAACAAGATTGCTATTGGGCTCGGGGGGGGGGGGAGAGCTAAGCCCCCCAGTCTAACTGAATTTCACATAATTATTTTTTTAAATAAACTAAAATTTGTTGAAATTACCCCAAAAAAATCAAATGAAAAAAATCATAAGAAAACGTATACGGTGTGGGGCCCCCTTCAGAGATTCACAGCCGGGCCCTGGGAGACCCGTTCTAATATTCAACAAAATCATCAAATTAGCGGGAGACCCGTTCTAATTTTTGATAAAATAATCAAACTTGAGGAAGAGTCGTTCAAATCATCGATAAAATAATCAAACTTGAGAAAGACCCGTCAATGACTGTACAAAACCAGTGACAATACATAGCTAATACAAGTTTATGTTGTACTAACTGGATCCCAGTTGCTCCGCAGTTCACGACGCCACTAAAAATAAAATTCATAATTTCAAATGTTTGTACACAGATGCCAGAATTTTATTAGGCTATAGTTTACTACTACTCGGCGTAACTCAGGTATTAGTTTAAATTTTACAATACATATATCTTAAGCAAATTATGTTGGGAGATATCGAAAGTAATGTATTTATTTTGGGAGTGCAAAACATCTGGACTAATTAACGCTTAATAATAATAATAATAATAATAATAATAATAATAATAATAATAATAATAAACTTGATGCTCTGTGTAAAATACTGTACATACGGACAATACGACGTAATAACGTGTGCCCTTGATGAGTCATACGTTTCCCATGCGTCATACAACGCCTAGGATATGAGAGGCAATCAAGTTTGATTCGAGAATTAAGGCTAGCTCTTAATTCACAAATAACCCGCACATAGAAGAGAGGAGCTTACGACGACGTTTCGGTCCGACTTGGACTTTGTAAATGTTCCAAGTCGGACCGAAACGTCGTCGTAAGCTCCTCTCTTCTATGTGCGGGTTATTTGTGTATCGTTCCAGTCACGGTATTGTGCCTTTTTTTATTTATAGCTCTAATTCCTCTGATCAAGAGCCCTTCACCAGCATCAAGAACCCTTTCGAAGGAATAGAGCTGCACAAAAATATTGAAAGGAATCTTCGTTTAATTTGTGACAGGAGGGGAAAGTGTGGTCTTGACCACCAGTTCGATCTTAAGTGTGAGTGTACTATATATATAATCGACAATGTTATAATCTACAATGGGTGTTCTATAATCGACAATAAGTGCTACAATCGACAATGAGTGCTACAATCAATAATGACTCACGAAATCGTAGGTCTGAAGTTTTATGACACTGACCGCGGGTTCTATCCCACCCGCGGTATGGTTTATAATCAATAATGATTGTGCTATAATCAATAATGAACAATAATAAAATCATCAGAAATGAACTAACCACTATACACCAGTGCACAATAATTGACAATGAGTGTCCTATGAACCTTAATACAAACGGAATTGGTTGCAAAGGTTTGGAAAGAATCACTGAAGCAAATAAAACTACAGTTTACGAGCTGCTGTCAACTTGGTCTGTATGATACTTGTAGAAATTATAATAATAATAATAATAATAATAATAATAATAATTATTATTATTATTATTATTATTATTATGACGCTACAGATTAATAACCAATTAACATAAGCGCAAAACTGCAGTGGTATTTCTAAATGATGATAACAACTACTTAATCTGTTATCCTAAGTACATTTGTAACGAAGCTTCTCAAAACTGTACCTGCGTTAGAAGTAACTGTTTATCAAGCGTACCTGAGTTTGCAGTAACAATGTCTATCAAGCGTATACCTGTGTTTGCAGTAACGAGGCTACTTAGAGCACCAGCCGAGGCTCGACGCACGTAAAGTTGCCGCCAACTTTCATTAACTTCAGTTACTTCTACCGCTGTTTCGTCATATAATTCACTCACGTCTTCACTCTCATTTTCCTTATTATATATCCTGGCACAATCTTTTAATGATTCTCCATCAAGCAAGACATTCACATGGGAATATTCCTGCTGTTTGTTATTCATATTTTCTGAAGACGAGGAGTCCTTTTCCTCCTCTTCCCGTTTTCCATCGTGCAACATATGTTCATTATTCGAAGTTTTGTATTCATTTACGATCAGATGTATTTCGCTTATTAGTGTATCTTCCGCAATGACAGATTTGTGATTACAATCGCCACACTGCGAGTACTCTGATGCCACAACACTGGACACATCATCCTCTAGCCCTGCACCAAAACGTAAATATGTTATATTGTGGTTTCCACCAATGACAGTGGTAAGATCAGCACGATGCTGCCTGCCAGCACTTTCCTCGCCGTTCTGCCTCACTTGTTCAGTGGTACTCACGTGACTATCACTACTATTCAAAAGACACTCTTCGATCGTCTCAATTTTGTCTTCATATGGTTCTAGGCACATTTGGATCCCTTCCTCTTTCACTCTTTCTGCATCGATGTCAGTGGCGTTTACAGCACTGCCCACAGTTATATCATCTTCATCGTCGCTCGAGTTGTATTTATCAAAGATCATATTGGCTATGCGTGCCTCAGAATCAGTATCCAAATGTCTATTCTGATGTTTTACAGATTCTTCGATAATAGTACCAAGTCTCCAATCGGCTGCATTAGTCGCAGTGTAAACAACAGGACGGCCACTGTTAAGATCATCCTCCAGTGTGTTCATGGTGATACCTGCCGACGGTAGTATAGGAAAGTCTACTTCTTCTTGAAGTTCTAATAAAAGGGACTTGATAACTTTAGTTGAATGTGTTGAAATAAAATTGTGTGGGTGGGTGTCGTCACCTGTGTCCTGGGGTTGCCCTGAGAGATCCTTAGACGTGGGTTCATCTATGCAGGTTTCTAAATAGTGTGGTTTTGCAGTTTCGTTATCGCCATCTTTAATTTTACTGACTCAGACACTTCATTTAATGAATCTACGTAAGGCTGACTAGAAGCATTACTGTCTCCGTCCTTCCAGTTTTCATGGCTACGCAGTTTGAGAATCTCAGTAACAAGACCTATGCTGTTTCTTTGACAAAAAGACTTAAAGTTGGCTGCTCTTTCTTTCCGTCTGACTTCAGGACAAGACTTGACAGAAAATTCACTGTCGAAGGAGCCAATACTTTGGGTAGAGACAGTGGCATTAATGTCCACTGATTTAGCTGTTTCCATGTATGATGGGCGAGAGACGTCAAATTCAGTGTCGAGACAAGTTACTGATAACCGCTGGATGTTGTCGGTTCCTCTTGGGTTAGTGAGAACATCTAAATCACTAAGGCTTGGACTACTCACCCTATTAGGCTTAAGTTCATGTGAAACTGCATAAAAACCAACACTATTTCCCATTTTGAAAGATGCAGCGAATTAGTATTTTGGCCGTAGACAATTTTTTTACTGTACTGTATCTGAATCACTAGTGTCACCAGACTGTCAGATTTAAAATGTTTAACAAAAATCACTGTAGATTAACAATCCTCATCGCACATTTTAATTTGGTTAGCCTCTGCATTGTTCGGCTGACCAAGAAATATACAACCTGTTTCATAATTCGTATCTAAAACTTTGAATTTACATAGCATTCTTTTAAGTATTTTCACAATCAGATAAAGCTTAAATTTCATGCTCGCTCTCAACTTTTTTTTTTCCACAAAAAACAAGATTCCATGTGTAATGTTTTGTGCTATCGGATTAATAATGTCAACATAGTTTGGAATTAATTTAAATTTTAAAATGTATAATTGGTTTCAGTCTGATGTTTTCAAGTCATTATGACACAAAACACCTTCGTATCCACTAATTTACTTCGTAATATGATCAGAATAGCAGATCCATATCGTATAAGCTTTCATTTACAACAGTCTCTCCTTAACGTCTTGTACAATGTGCCTCCCCATGGTGAGCGGGCAACCCCAGCTGACCATCACGAGATAGACCAAGCACAACTGACGAAGGTGGCGGGGCAGGAGGTGGCAGTGGTGGAGAGCCAGCAGCTCCTGTGGTTGACATCCTGAGATGCCTTGAGGTCACCTCTCTCCCATCAAAACCCGTTCACCTGCACCAGCCATGGGAAGTAAGCAACACACAAATCGCTAGTGAAAAGCGCTGATTCATCCCCAAGAAATCAGCGTAGTCGGAAATCTGCCAACACGTGTATTAGCATATATCAAAGACTCCTAGGTAAGTAATCTCAGGCTGGTGAATTACTGTGGTCAGAGATCGCCCTCACAGTGTAATATGATCAAGGTAATCATTCGCACTTTTTTGTTTTTACTCGTGGCTAGACTTCTATGATACAGAGTAGCGCCATAAACTGCAGACTCACATACATTATAATAAATATTTTTAGTATTGTTGGCTCACCTAAAGACTAGCCTCGTCTTAGATAGGGTTGAGAAATTAAGTTATTGTACAATACGTACATTTAGCAAGGTTAGTTTAGGTTGTCTATCAAACGTGTACCATGTACTGTGGTGCAGAATTCGTGACTGACACACAAAATTTGCACAACTTTAGCTGTGCGACTAGTTAATGGTCCAAGTCGGACCGAAACGTCGTCATAAGTTTCCTTCTCCTATGTGCGGGTTATCTGTGTATTGTTCCAGTCACTGTATTGTACCTTGTTGTTCTTTAGCCGCTTTCCTTGAGAGGAAGTCAAATCTTCCAATGATTCGTGTTAATGAGATCAATATATAGTGATTACCTATTATTTACATGTTTAATGACTGTCATTGTTTTTCTAGCTTATACATGTGTTTATAGTGGGCTTACAAAGTCAACTTCTACACCTATCCACAACCTTCACAAGATTTACTGAAGTGTGTTAAAAAAAACTCTTGAGTCGAGGAACTGCAGCTGCCTATGTCTCTCATTTTCCTTGGATCAAACCTGAATTCCCTCATCACACGGTAAAAAAAAATACAAGTAAATGTCTGCCTAGCCAATTCGATGATGAGGACTGAAGAGAAATGTTGCAACCCCTGCGAAAACAACTCAATGAGTACATAATTTTTGTTAAGCTTGTTACGTCTTTTACCTCTAAGGTTGACGGTGTCTCAGAAGTCGAAAGCAATAGGAAAACACACACCCTATACTTTTAATTTAGTAATTATTCATTTAGTTATTATTCAATGTTAAACGGAATAACACACCCTTAATTCAGTTATTAATGAATGTCAAACAAAATAACACACCCTTAATTCAGTTATTAATGAATGTAAACAACTATAACACACCCTTATTCGTTATGTATTCAATGTCAAACATAAATAATCAACCCTTAATTCATTTACTAAGTTTCAATGTCATAAACAGGTTCGACCATTAATTAGTGTAGGGAAAACACCTGATCTTAGTCGCCCTTTTCTTTGCTACCATAAAGTCCAGTAAAACTGCAGTTCACTGCAAAATCCAATTTCTCTTTTCTGAAGGATTTTGAATACATAACTGATCTCGCCACCGTTGCCATACCAGAATGGCAACGTAATGTTATTACTAATATTCACAACATAAACATTGCCAAGCAATGGTAACACCAGAGTAAGATTTATCTTTTTTTGACAGGAGCCAAATGTTGGTAATTTATTCTTTAACAATAACATTGTACGTCATTTAACAGTGGTTACACGGTATGTAGAGGTATTCTGATTGTTAGCAGTGTGTGTATCCTACGTGTGTTAAGGGTCACTAGAATCATATTCCTAGGTGTTTCGTATGGGAAGTTACGTGCGCAGATGTCAAGGTTCTTCCTCTACTTCATTAATGCTTTGTAGCCACTGTTGTGACTTCCGATACACCACTAACCGCTGTAGAACATCGGTCTAGAGAGCAACACCATCTTGACGAGCTGACATTTTACCTGGTTGCCAACATATCCAAAGACAGATCTAACATAACACACAGCAATGTATCGTCCACCACGCAACACAGCACCCACAAACACAACACAGCACCCACGAACATAACACAGCACCCAAAAACACAATACAGCACCCATCAACACAACACAGCACCCACGAACACAACACAGCACCCACGAACATAACACAGCACCCTAAACACAATCAGCACCCACAACACAACACAGCACCCACGAACACAACACAGCACCCCAAAACACAGCACCCACTAACACAACACCAGCACCCACCAACACAACACAGCACCCATCAACACAGCACCCACGAACACAACACAGCACCCACAAACACAGCACCCACTAACACAACACAGCACCCACCAACACAACACAGCACCCATCAACACAGCACCCACGAACACAACACAGCACCCACGAACAAACACAGCACCCACAAACACAACACAGCACCCACAAACACAGCACCCACAAACACAGCACCCACAAACACAGCACCCACCCACAAACACAGCACCCACCAACACAACACAGCACCCACAAACACAGCACCCACCAACACAACACAGCACCCATCAACACAAAACAGCACTCATCAATACAACTGGAATAATCCTGGGGTTGGGTTGGTGGCAGTCTGGATCGTCACAACGCTTGAGCTTCCAGTTCCAGTAACTCGAGTCCTTATTCCCTGGGTTGACGTAATGACCTCAATCCTTGCCTGCCTGTTTCCCTGCCCGTCTCTGCCAGCCCTATGTATGTATGTATGTATATGTGTATATATATATATATATATATATATATATATATAATATATATATATATGTCGTGCCGAATAAGCAAACTTGCATCTTGCTTAAATAGCAACGCTCATCTTGCCAATAGGACAAGTGAAAATTTGTGTATGCAATAATTCGCCAAAACCATTCTGAACCTAACGAAAAAAGTATATTTCACTCTGTTTGTTAAGTATTAAATTATTGTAAACAAATCTAAAAAAATATCTAGTTGGGTTAGGCTAAATAAATTACGCTTAGTTATAATAAGGTGGGAAAGTTTCTAAGTTCCTTTTGGGTGCAAAATTATAAATTTTACATCAACATATGAAAAAAATATATCTTTAACGTATAAGAGAAAATTTTGGAAAGGTCCTTAATTTAAATGAGTTCTTGCAATTGACCAGTTTTACATATTCGGCACGACATATATATATATATATAATATATATATATATATATATATATATAATATATAATATATATATATATATATATATCAATAACAACACTGCGACTAGCCGAGAATTCGAACCCATGTCGTTTTGGTCCACAAATGACGCTCTAACCCACGAGCCAAAACGACACGGTTCGAATCCTCGGCTAGTCGCTGTGTTATTATTGATTAATACCACTTGTTCGTGTCGAACAGGTAAAACTGACTCATTTAAAATTAAGTCCTTTCTAAAATTTTCTCTTATACGTTTAAGATACATTTTTTCATTTATGTTAACTTAAAAATTAATAATTTTGTACCAAAAGAACCTTAGGAAACTTACCTAACCTTATTATAACAAGCACAGTTAAATTAAGCCTAATCCAACCAAATATATTTTAGATATATATTTTTTAGTTAGGTTCAGAATGATTTTTGCGAAATTATTGCATACACAAATTTTTGCTTGCCTTATTCGGTAAAAAGAGCGTTTTACCTATTCGGCACGACATATATACTATCCCTTTTTAATGTCATGGATTATTTGAAAAGCACAAACATCTATGTAATAGTGCAACATATCAAATGAGATTATGAATCTCTTCCAGCTCCTTCGAAGCTGGACACGAGTCATGAATGCAGTAGGCATTACCCCTTTGGATGGCTACGCTGAAACACTTTATAAGCATATGCATGCACAGGATTGACATGTTTCCTTTATGACACGTGACAAACATGACAACTCTGAATTTTCTATGAAAAATTAATCAACAATATATGCAATACAGCATATATATATATATAACATGATGTGAAAAAGGTCAGGCACGTTTCTCAAGTGACACAGTAACTGAGCTATATCCCGTGTTGTCTATGACAGTGACACTGATGTACCTGACACAGCAAAGAATATGCCACGACTGGAAGGAAGTACAATAAGTAAATATCCTGCATGTTACACACACTGTACTGACTCGACTCTCTTTTAAGGGGGGAGTGCCTTCATGCTGGTATAGGACTCTTGGTCCATGGAATTGGACCTACCTTCCCATTCGTTGGATTAAACCTTTTTACCTCCCATTTCCTAGGCGATGTATAATCCCTACGGGTTTATCGTTTTCCTATGAATATAATGACCAACTCACCTCTGCATCCCTCCACGCCGGAGTCCGTATGAGGATCATCCTGTGACGTGTGGTCATGAGGAGAAAGATCTTGTGGTGAAGAATCATGTGGTGAAGAATCCTGAGGTGACGAGGAATCTTGAGGTGACGAGGAATCCTGAGGTGACGAGGAATCCTGGGGTGACGAGGAATCCTGGGGTGACGAATCTTGGTGTGGTGAGTTTTGGGGTAGACCAGTAGAAATCTGGGGAGAGCCTCGGCCAGCCTCCTCGCCAGCACTCCAGTACTCGTCATCGTCGTGCTCGGTACGACAGACGACCTCAGGGCTATGAAACACCTCGGGGTCGTGAGGGAGGCTGAGAGACCGGCTGATGAGGTCATGGTCGTTTCCCTCACACGGCTGGTCCACATAGGGCATGCTGACGGCACGTGCAGGCTTACAGGGCGGTAGTGAGCCCACCGCTGAGTCGAAAGTAAACACGAGAGGCTGTGATACACGGGTGCTGTAGTCACGACAGGCGGCGCAGGTGGGCATGGGGCACAGGGCACTAGGTGAGACCAGCACTGACTCCTGGCTCATTTGAGGGTCTGCCCGGGGCACGGGTGGGAATCTCTGAGTGATGCGGCGGCGCACCTCCGCCAATTCCGAGTCTACACTCGAGGTTGAATCTGAATCACTAATGCCTGCAGAATGCTTGCACTCTTCTTTAGTTGGAGAGTTGTGCTTTTTATCATTCATGATTGCAATAACCTCATCCACACATTCTTTATTCGGTAATTCCTGTATGTGCGCCTGTACTGTTTCATGTGCACGTTTTCCTCCTTTCTGCTGCGACAATACCTGCAAGCCGGTCTTACCCTCTTCGTCTGGGCATGGAGCATCCCCATCTGCAGAAAAAGAAGGTTCTTGCGCATCAACCACACTCAGAATGGTGTCCAGCAATTCGCTGTAAAAGTCAGCGTCGTCGGTGGCTCTTTCTTCCTCTTCTGGGTTTGGAGTCGAGCTCTCTCTCTCAAAGCTCACATAGCTATTTTCTGCTGTCTCGTGCTCACTGTTGGTAATGGCCTCGTCTCCAGTAAAGTATGCATCAGACGATGTTACTGCAACTGTTCCATCCACCGCCGAGATGGATACCAAACTGCAACTGCTCTGGCTTAGTACTTGGCCTCCAGGACTTTCTGCCTCTTGTTCTGTCGTTTCTGTTGTTTTCTCGCTTTCTTTATGACTGGGTTTAACATCAAGAACTTCTGTATTTTCCAGGGCTACTTGACTGACCAAAGGCGTGTTTTCGTTCGCAGTAAAAGAGGTATCACAGCTCACAACGGTTGGCACATCCGATGATGAGTATGACGTTTTGTAAAGATGTTTATTTCTGGTACGTTGTCGGCGTGAGGAGCCACTACTACCTCTGCGAACTGCTCTGTCTCTGAATCCCACGTCGTCTGGGTCAAATTCCGTTGAAGGATCACCGCTGGTGTCAGCATTGACTGGTGATGACATGACGGACAAATCCAACGTGGAACTTGTTGTGCTCGAAATGCAAGGGGCACAACTCTGGAGAATCCTGTCAATGGCGCTGCTCCTGTTAGTGCTACTGCTGGCATTCATAGCGGCGTTATACCGCCTGTCTAAGCCACTCGTCTCCAGCTTGACGCTTGGTGCTCTGCAGTCGCTTCTAGTACTCTCGGAATTTAAACCTCTGTGGTCCACAACATCGTTTTTCTGGACTCGAGGCGATGCCCTCGGGTCAACACTACTAATTGAGTAAGACCTTCTTCTTTCTCCTGGAAGCTCGTTGTCAAAGTAGTGAAGTTTTTGCAGCCGAACTCCAGTAATGTCCGACTTCTGTTTTTTTAAAATACCAACTCTGACAGTCTTTTGTTTCATATAATTTGACTTTTGCTTTTCAGCTCTGCTCTCGGACTCCGGTTGTAGCTTCCTCCTTAACGAAGATCTTTCATACGCCACACGCTTAGGTGACGAAGCCTCGATGAGGGGCTGACTGGTCGACAATCTGGGCAATAATGTTGACTGTGAATGGCCCTTCATGTCCGCACGAGTTTCTTTAAATGGGACAAATTTCCTTGAAAAACTTTCCTTCGTGATGCTTTCTTCTTGACGCTGCTGAACATCCACGAATTTTGTATCTGTGATACCAGAGGAAAGGGTGGCTGTTGAGACTGAAGCAGCAGCAGCAGCCTGCAAGTTCTCGTATATGTGTATTACCTTGGGTACAAGATTTTTGAGATCGGCTGCAGTTGGCGGATGTTCTTCACCTGCTGGTAAACTCGGAGCAGGGACTTCCGTCGTACTACCTCGGCAAAATATGACTTCAGGTACATTTTCATAAATGTGAGTTTCAGCTATCTGACTTCCAGCCACGGTTAATTTGGCTTTAGTAATATTGGGAAGGTTTATGGTTTCTTGATCACAAATATCCCAAGTCTGAACGCACTGCGTTATTGCCGCCTCAACAGCTTCTTTGGCAACTTCCTCTGATACCAGCTGCGAAGCTTTTATAACAGAGATTTCCTCATCTGGAATCACTGTTTCATCTGTTTTGGAAACAGGAGGTATTTTTTCTGAGTCTTCACTGCGTCCTGTGACACCAGCCTCATCATGGGTCTGATTATCTTCTGCCTTGGACGGAGACATTAGCCCCAAGACGTTCTCCCTGGAATCCCTCTTCTTTAGAACACCAACAATGCGACAGGCAGAGAAGCCCATGTTGGGAAAAGAGGTAGTGTTTTCAGTGTTGGGAATGTCAACAGCAGCAGAAGATTCAGCCTTGGGAAGAGGCATGGTATCGGTGGGACTGGGGATCTCCACACAGCTCAAGCTGGAGAGACGAATATTCTCAACACTTCGACTCTTCAGCCTGATCTTCCCCGACACACCACGAGCGAATATTTCGCTCACCGTCGACGATTTATCCATAACAGTCATGTCTGTCACTAACTTTTCTTGACGAAAATCACCCTCTGTTCGACTTCTCTTGAAGGAAGGCAGCCGTGAAAGTTCTGCGACCTTCTCCTGCGAGCCGAACTCTGGGTTCTCCTTCAGAGTAAAGTTATCCTCAGAAATAGTTTTGGTAAGTCGTCTGTGACCTGTCAGAAGTCGTCGAGCTGTCGTATTTCGATCCGATTCATCACATATGTCAACTTTTTTAGAACTCTCATAACGAAAAATATTTGTACTGGCGTCTTCAACATGATGCAGGCAGCTGTCACGAGCACGGTGGCCACGTTTACCTTCACGAGGGAGCTCCGTAGCGTTGGGAAAGCCTCCTCTGTCACTCCCACTCACCCCCACGTCATCACTGCCATCTTCCACATCCACAACACAAACATCTTTGTCAAAATCCCCAGAGAATAAATTTTCTTTGCTACAGACTATGCTTTTGGACAGCTTCTCTTCAATCAGAGTGACGTCCCTGGAACCACCCTGTCTTATGGTCATGCCAAAAGACGACGTTCTTATCTCCTCATCTCCGTCTTCAACAGTCTTTTCTACATCGTTACCGATGACCGATGATAAATGGGGAGTGAACGAATCATTAGATTTTATGCGCTGTTTCTTCTCAGAAACATTAATTACGGAGTAAATTCTACTTGGGTCTTCTTCCGTCCGTAAATCTTCGTCTGACTGTTGCTTAATGTCACTTGTAATGGAGTCAACTTTTGGGGAGGCTTTAACCTTCAATAATTCCACGTCAGCTCTAAATCCGCCAGACTCTGAGATTATGTTTGTTTGAGTAGTCGTGGTGTGGTCAGTGGTGGTATGGTCAGTGGTGGTGTGGCCAGTGGTGGTGTGGCCAGTGGTGGTGTGGCCAGTGGTAGAGGTGTGGTCAGTGGTGGAGGTGTGGTCAGTGGTGATGTGGCCAGTGGTGGAGGTGTGGTCAGTGGTGGAGGTGTGGTCAGTGGTGGTGTGGCCAGTGGTGGAGGTGTGGTCAGTGGTGGAGGTGTGGTCAGTGGTGGTGTGGCCATGGTGGAGGTGTGGTCAGTGGTGGAGGTGTGGTCAGTGGTGGTGTGGTCAGTGGTGGAGGTGTGGTCAGTGGTGGTGTGGTCAGTGGTGTAGGTGTGGTCAGTGGTGGTGTGGTCAGTGGTGGTGTGGTCAGTGGTGTAGTCAGTGGTGGTGTGGTCAGTGGTGTGGTCAGTGGTGGTGTGGTCAGTGGTGGTGTGGTCAGTGGAGGTGTGGTCAGTGGTGTGGTCAGTGGTGGAGGTGTGGTCAGTGGAGGTGTGGTCAGTGGTGGAGTGGTCAGTGGTGGTGTGGTCAGTGGTGGAGGTGTGGTCAGTGGTGGTGTGGTCAGTGGAGGTGTGGTCAGTGGTGGAGCGGTCAGTGGTGGAGGTGTGGTCAGTGGTGGAGGTGTGGTCAGTGCTGGAGGGGCGATCAGTGGTGGTGTGATCAGTGATGGAGGGTGATCAATGTGGAGGTGTAGTCAGAGGTGGAGGTGTAGTCAGTGGCGGAGGGTGGATCAGTGGTGGAGGGGTCATGTTCAGTGGTGGAGGGGTCATGCTCAGTGGTGGAAGGGTCGTGGTCAGTAGTGTGGTCAGTAGTGGAGGGGGGGTGATCAGTGGTGGATGGGTCATGGTCAGTAGTGTGGTCAGTAGTGGAAGGGGGGTGATCAGTGGTGGATGGGTCGTGGTCAGTGGTGGAGGGGTCATGGTCAGTAGTGGAGGGGTCATGGTCAGTAGTGGAGGGTCATGGTAAGTAGTGGAGGGTTTGTGGTCAGTGGTGGAGGGGTGATCAGTGGTGGAGGGATCATGGTCAGTGGTGGAGGTTTGTGTCAGTTGTGGAGGGTCTTGGTCAGTGGTGGAGGGGTCATGGTCAGTGGTGGAGGGGTCATGGTCAGTGGTGGAGGGTTTGCGGTCAACAGTGGAGGGGTCTTGGTCAGTGATGGAGGGTTTGTGGTCAGCAGTGGAGGGTGATCAGTGGTGGAGGGGTCGTGGTCAGTGGTGGAGGGGTCGTGGTCAGTTTTGAAGGGTCTTGGTCAGTGGTGGATGGTTTGTGGTCAGTGGTGGAGAGGTCTTGGTCAGTGGTAGAGGGTTTGTGGCCAGTGGTGGAGGGGTCTTGGTTAGTGGTGGAGGGGAAGTGATCAGTGGTGGTGGGGTCGTGGTCAGTGGTGGAGGGGATGTGGTCAGTGGTGGTGGGGTCGTGGTCAGTGGTGGAGGGGACGTGGTCAGTGGTGGAGAGATCGTGGTCAGTGGTGGAGGGGTCTTGGTCAGTGGTGGAGAGGTTGTGGTCAGTGGTGGAGAGTAAGGTAGGAATATAAGGACTCTGGCATCTCCTCGGGCAGGTTGAAGTGACCTCTCCTACAGGATCAACTTGCACAGGTGTTCCCCCAGCACTCTTCACTACAACCTCTCCCACGGCACTCTCTCTCTCATCTCGGCTCCATCTATCCTCCTTTTTCATCTTATTTGTAGCTTTCTCTGTTTCATCCTGTGCTAAACTATCTTCACTTTCTCCTTCATTATCTAGTAAAGTTTTCTGGCTTGAAAACACATGTTTGACGCCAATTCGTTCATCTTCTGCTGTTTCAATTTCAGAGATAATGTGAGCGTCATCCTGGGTAATGTTACTAACCTGATGCTCTCTCGTCTCTCCGTCTTGATCTGTGAATGTAGGAGAGTGCAGTGAGATCCTTAGATTCGTGTTGGTCTTGTCTCTCACTTGTTCGCCCACTTGCCCTGAGACATCTACCAGCAACTGCCCGGTGCCCTTCAGCGTCCGGATTTTCTCTATCATAATACCATCATCTTGCTTGAACCTGGCGATCATCTCATCCCTCTTATCTGCTGAGCTACTGCTGGTATCTTTCCTGCTTTTGAGACTTTCCTGCCTCTGTTTGTCTTTACGTGTCTTCCTACTCTGGCTGGTGTCATACTTGACTGCCATCTGCACATCCTTCCCTCCTACGTTGGCATCAGTAACAGCTGCGTCCGTCAAGTTACCTGTGTCCAGTGTCAATACCACACTAGCATCATCAACCTGCTCATGCTGTCTGCTGGAGTGACTGAAGAAAGGAACCAGTGTCGCCTCTCCTCCTTCTCCCTCTCTCACACTCTGGCTTTCATTACCCTCACTTGTCTCTGCTCCCATAGCATTTTCATTGTCTTCATTCTTTACCTTGGGTATTACTTTCTTTCTTCTAGTTTTGTCACCACGTACACGATATGTTTCTCTTGCTTCTATAAATTTACTAATTTCCAAACTATTTTCATATTTTGACCTCGTTTTTCTAAATTCTTGATGTAAATGTTCTGATTCCACAACTGAGGTATGACCTCTCCCTTCTTCTTTAAGCTTGACACTAAGTATGGTCGCGTTGCTCTTCACTTCTACCGAAATATTAACATCCTGTTCTGTCTCTGGCTGTTTGTCCTGCTTTGTTTGAGAGTGCTCATCCTGCTTTATCTCTGGCTGTTTGTCCTGTTTTGTTTCTGGCTGTTTGTCCTGTTTTGGGAAAATCTTACAATTTTTCTCATTCTCATTCTTGTCAATATTTTGCGACACCTTCCTAGGGTCACCTCTCCGGCTGCCTCTGAAGTGTCTCTGGGATAACCTTTTCATTCCTTGCTATTTCCCGTGGTTTATGCTGTTGAGACTCGAAGAACTGAATGATCTCAGAGTCCAGTTTACCACTTGTTTTGGAAGCAATGTATGCATAGCGTTGCTGACGCTGGTCGTGTGTAGCTTTGTTTTCCAAAAAAACATTGAACCGTTGGCGGCAATCAGACAGCTGTCGGCGAAGCGCATTCACAGGCTTTGTGTCTTTTGACCTGGTAATTCGTCACTTCCAGCTATACTAGTTTCTATTTCCTCGTTTTCTGGCGTTTGATTGGCCCCGACGTTACCAGACCCACTAACGTGTTTTTTTGAGACTGGAATTTATTTATAGGTAGGTGGTCCCTCCATGATTGTCGCACATCTAACTTGAGATCACCCGTGAGTGACTGGTCCTTATATAGAGTGTCCGCTTCCGACACCATACTCTTCTTGCCTTCAGATTCACTCGTGTCTCCGTTCACAACGATTATTACCTTACCTCCATAAACACTTCCCATGTTGGTCTCTTTCCCAGAATCTTTGATTTTATACTCCGGAGTCTTCTCAACCAAGTGTTCAGATGCTCTTGGTAAAATCTTCTTCTCTTCTTGCTTATTCTCAAAATTGGATAGTATTTCTGTTACAGAGTTCCTATGTTTTCCTCCAAATTTTGGTTCGTCTGTATCCCTTGTTTGAAGTTTTGGGATAGACGAGAGTGTGGGTGAGCTCTGAACCTGAGTCACAACTGACTTAATTATTTTAGCAGCAGCGATTCTTGGTGACCTTGCTGGAGAGGGTTTAGGCGAACCCTCTGGTGCAGGAGAACTAGACTTCGAGCTTCTTAAAGAGTCCATTTTTGGAGAGAAAGGCCGTGGAGATCCAGGTTTGGGGGACTCAGACTGGGAACCCCTGGGAGATCTCTGCCGTCGGGTTCTTACTGGAGACTGCCGAGGAGACATGTCCCGGCTGAGGCTGTTGCTGCTTGATCTTCCTTTGTGAAGTTGTGGTGACCGACACAAACGCTCAATTTTCGGGGATGGCAAAAGTTTTCTGTCGTGTGGGCTTTTTACTCTGACAATATCAGCCTTGCTGGAGTCGCTGGTCGTCTTCAAGTTCTTATTTCTCAATCCCCAAGTTTTCTTTTTCTCAACTTTTGAGCCTTTATTTAAGCTGTGTTTCGTGTGAGAACGTTGGTCATCTATTGGTTTACGGCACACATCTATGTCAGGGGTTGGACTCTTATCCTCATTCTGTACTGGGCTGTCTATTGACAATTCTGAGCTGCTGTTATCTGCTTCATTATTTTCTCTCTCTGTACTCTTTTTTGAAAAAATAGGCTGCCCCATTTGGTCCCCATTTCGACTGCTTTTACGGCTACTTCTCATCATACCTCTGGTCGCCCCCTTCAGAGCCTCTTCGTGCGATTGACTCGGCCTTCTCTCTTGCTTGTCTCTGGGAGTCCCCAGTGGAGGGACACTTCTGCTCCTCTCAGTCTTAGACAACTTCGCGCTGTCGAAGATGAGAGTTCGATGATTCTGAGGAACATCGAGCCGAGTGATGGTATGTTGGCGTTTTTTAACCTGTGCTGAGGTCATGTTGAACTTCTTAGAGACGACGAGCTCCTGCACCACCAGAGCTAGGTGAGGGGTTGACCACGGACCCTCAAGGCTCTCCATGTCTCCATCTTCTGACGAGGAAGTCGATACGCTAGCTTTACTTTCACCACTGTGACGTCTTCGTAGTGAAACTCCTTTATTTTCCTTAATATCTGCTGCATCTAATTCATCATTACCACTATCCAAACTCAAAGGCTTGTTTATGTTCTCACTGTTTTCATCAGTATTATAATGTAATTCTTGTGATGACACTACAATGTCTGGAGAAGCAAGTACTGACTCAGTAAAATGTTGAGTGGATGAGTCTCTGGTGGCGTTATCGTCAGCCTGTATGACCTCGATGGCAGTGTCCAGAGTGTGTGATGTGTCACCAGTCACGCCATGTGTTGCGTTACAGGTATACTGCTTGACCGGAGAAATTTCTTTCGTTATGTGAATATCCTTTAATTGATCCGTCAGGGGTCTATCTGTCGCACTTTCCTTCACAAAAGTTTTCTTTTCACTATGTTCCACTTTCTCACTTCCTTTTATATTGCCATTCCGTCAACTGCATTATTTACCACGTAATTATTGTCATCAAGAGCCTGTGGTAACCCCTCACTCTGGTGGAGAAGAGTAACGGCGGCGGCGGCGACAGCGCGATCGCCCACCGCCTTGACGCGACCCGTCTCAGCGGGACACTGATGCGACCTCCCACCCTCCACCACTGAGGTTTTAGGATCACCGGAGTCAGGTTTCTGAACCTCTCTTGCCTCCACCATAGATGCACTGACACGATAACTACCACCCACTTCCTTAGAGGAGGACTTTATGGGTGAAGCTGGAATGGTTGTCGCCTCTGTATAAACAGAAGTCTGACTGTCTTGTGTTCTGGGAGTGTCTTCTGTTTTCGTTTCAGTCACGGTCGGGTGCGTTCGATTTTCCTTTGTTTTAGTGATACTAGGTTCTCCTTCCAGAGCCTGAGGGCTGGAATTTGCATTCACATTTATGGAAAGTAACTTATGAGGGATCATACTAGTATGAAGAACGTCTGTAGTGGAAGTTTCCTGAGAAACTTTAACGGACTCTGAAACTTGACAAGGTTCATTTTTTGAAGAATATAATGGTATCCAGTGCTCGATCTCATCAGCAGATGGCTGTCCCTTACTTTCCTTTTTAGATGCCTGTGACTGTAGTTGTAATCTCCGTCGGGTGGCATCCAGC